CCGCTCGGCTCCCCCGACCTCTGGTCCCGCACCCCCTTTGAATCTCCTTGTCCGTCCGCACAAGCCTCCCGTCTCCCGCCTTCAGGTCCCGTCCTCTTGTCCGGTGTCCCGTCGTCTGGTCCGCCCCTCACCGGCTCGTCCACCGCTCTCCCTCACGGATCCTCTCCTCTCCACCGCTCTCCCTCACGGATCCTCTCCCTCGGGTCCCTCCGCTCCTGGATCTCCGGTCCCGCACCGTACCCACTCCCTGCACGCCGCGCGGGTGCTTACTGCACGACTTCCGGTTCACAGGTCACAGCACACTGTTCATTTGGTGTGAACAAGGCCTTGTGATGTCACCGCAGATCAAGGGATCATAATAATGACCCCAGGGGACATCATCATATAATAATGACCCCAGGGGACATCATCATATAATAATGACCCCAGGGGACATCATCATATAATAATGACCCCAGGGGACATCATCATATAATAATGACCCCAGGGGACCTCATCATCATCATAATAATGACCCCGGGGGACCTCATCATCCTCACATAATGACCCCAGGGGACATCATCATATAATAATGACCCCGGGGGACATCATCATCCTCATATAATAATGACCCCAGGGGACATCATCCTCATATAATAATGACCCCAGGGGACATGCTCGCGTGTCCTTTTTATTCAGCATTATGCCATGGCCTAGCAGTGCCACACCTCACCTGACCATCCCAGATAGAAGCCCAACCCAGCAGCCATGTGGACAGGGGGAGGATGAGGCTGCACCCATGTAGGGAGGAGGTCGGGACCGTGCAGCAGTGTGTGCAGAGCAATGCATCCTCCCCTGCTGAGTGGGAGATGACATCCCGGGCTGTAGATTGTTGATGCACATAGGGACTTGAGACTGCTGCCTTCTAGCATCAGGATGAGGTAGTGCAGCAGAGGTGGCTGGTCCAGAAACGGCATCAGCGCTAGTTTATGGGGTACAGGGCCTAAAAACTATGACTAGGTAACGGGCCTCTGCCCTTTTTTTTCCTGCCTTAAAGATGCCCCTGCACCGATGTACCACGCTTTCTGGTGCAGGTGATCGCATTGCGGGCAGGGGGTGTGCCTGTGGTGCCATTGACGTCAATGCACTGCCACACTCTTGAACGCAGGAAGCCAGTTGGAATGCGATACTGTACGTTCCAGCAGCTGACTGCTCTGGAACGCACTGTTTATGGTGTGAACCGGCCCTGAGTGGTCTGGGAACTCCAATGCAAAAAGGAATTTTGCATATACCCTTCCTGAGAGAAAGCCGCACGGGTCGATGTGCGCAAGCGCACACTGCCCACTCACCATTGCAATAATCGGCAAGCCCTCAGCGGGGAGTGTTTGTGTTGATCACAAGTACGATCTGCCTGTCCAAGATGGGCAGGTCGTACGAAATTTTAATGACTGAACAGCCATCGCACAACGAAAGTCGTGCGATGGTTGTTAGGTGTATGGCCAGCTTAAGCCTGCTCCTTTTTTTGTGTGTGTTTTTAGTTCCCCCGTTTTAAGACATCCTTATATTTCTATACCTTTTTAGATCCTCTAGACATCCTTGGCAATTAAAAAGTCCTCTTTCACATGGATGTCTGCTCATGGCTTTACTATATCTGGTGGGGGGAAGATGCCTGCGGAGACCTGGGAAACTCAAATTTCTGAATATGTTTGTCTTCCTTCTCTTTTGGTTCTTTGCATTCCAGGTTCCCATGTCTTGGCATTGGGCAGTTCAAGGTCGTTAGGATCCAGGTGTAGTTCCTGTTACTTTTCAGGGTTTTTCCTCAAATATTGCAAAGTCCTCACTTGTTCCATGACCTTGCACTGAGTACTTCTGTTGGATACCCTTAAAGCAAAAGTGTTCTTCCTCCAAAACAAAATGTTGCTGCGGGATCAAGTTTGGGCGTTTCGATCCCATCGCTGTTCCTCTGAGAGTGTGCATGAGAATACTGGGATTGATGGTGTTAATCTTCAAAGAGGTTCCTTTTTGCTCAGTTTTATTCCAGTACTTTACAGAGGAATATTCTTGCAGTGTGGGACAAATGTCCTCTCTTGCTGGTCAAGATGATCAGATTGAGTGCCTCGGCCAAGATGGCAGATGTACTTGAACATCTTGTTAACAAGTTTCTCTGCTCGTGAATGCTGGATTTGGATCTTCTAGCTTGTCATCACAGCAAGAAGGTCGCTGATTTTGTCTACAGAGTGAGGGAGCGGTGGATGCCTTACCAGCTCCATAGGATCAGTTCACACTAATGTATGTTTTCGCTCCACTAACATTGTTACCTCGACTGCTTTGCAGGATAGTACACAAAGGAATTCCACACCTCCACAGAAAGAATCCAGCTGCACGTTGCTGGTCAAGCTGAAAAGCCTCCATTATTCAGACATGCACAGCTCAGTCCTGCCCTGCTAATGCGTTTCACCCTATCCGGTGCCTAGTAGCAAATAAGTGACTATTTCGGGCAATAAAATCTTGCATGACTAGTGAAAACCTCAGTCGAGATAGGAGAGGACGCAGACCATCGCAGCCACAGAGGATTCCAGTGTCAGAAATGGCTTTAAGATCAAAGAATACCACGACAAACATCAGCAGTGTAAGATGCTCTGCAAGCAGCCTCAGGGCAGTCAGAATGTGAGCAGAGAAGAGCGGACATCCAGAAAAGTGTCTAAAATGTAAGATATGTCGCAAACGATTGGTGGTAAAGCAATTTATAGGCTAAGGGCAAGCGGCAAGGTCTGACACTTGCAGTGCTTGCACATCTAGTAGCAGGTGAGTATCAGATGGCCTGAGGTGGCCAAGAATGAATTGTAGAGCCACCCGTGGTTCTCTGGAAAGCCCAGAATTACAGCTGACGACCTCAGAATGTCAAGCTGGTGCAGATTAACTTGTTACCCAATCTGCGCTGCAATTATTGAATGCAGAAGTGCTGTGCTATGCACTTTTTCTGGGTTCACAGCTGTCACAATCATAATCTTTTCTTGATCGGCTGTAGCAAAGGGCAGGGGAGACATTGGGATTCTAATAGACCCCTGATGTCTCCATAAGAGTACCTCCCACCAGCCGGTGCCATCAAGTCTTGTTTGTCCCCCTTAGGGCTGCAACAACTAATCGACATAATCGATTATAATCGATTATTGAAAAAGTTGTCAACTTTTTCAATCATCGATTAATCGGCTTTTGATTAGTTGCTCCTGTTCACAGCTCCACACACGTTGCGCGCCGCACCTCCTCCCCACCTCACGCTCGCCGCTGCCAGACCCGCTCGCATTCCATGCTACACACGTCACACCTCCTCCCCGCCTCACGCTCACCGCCCGCCCACATCCACGATCGGCACAGGGACGCGGGGAGAAGAAGTAAGGAGGAGAAGGTGTGGGGTGGGGATGACAGCGGCAGATAGACAGGCCTGATTTCAGAAGCAAGTTGCTGGAAGACTGCTCAGGTACGCCTGCACTTTCCCACACATGGTGCTCTATAATGTATTGCTGGGATTTTTATTCCTCTATAGCTGATGGTACATTGTGCTGTACTGTATATTATACAGAGCAATGTACCATCAGCTATAGAGGAATACATTATACACTGTATGTATAATGTATTGCTGGGATTTGTTGTATTACTATACAGCTGATGGTATTCTGCATTGCGCTGTATAGAGGACTACAAATCCCAGCAATAATACATTATACAGCACAATGCAGAATACCACCAGCTATAGAGGACTACAACAAATCCCAGCAATACATTATACTTCACAATGTCGAACACCACCAGCGATAGAGGACTACAAAACCCAGCAATAGTACATTATACAGCGCAATGCAAAATACTGCCAGCTATAATTCATTGTTGCTGGGTTTTCTAGTCCTCTATAGCCGGTGCCATTCTGCATTCATTGCTGTATAATTTTAATTTCACTATATTGCACACCACACTTCTTTTTTTTTTCTTTTTTACTTCCACTGCTCTAAGCTTGCTCCTGTGATGGACTACAATCGCAATACAAACTATCAGTCCTATCACTGGAGCCATTTTTTAAAATGTATTTTAATTTTTTATCCGATTAACCGATTAATCGAACTTAATAATCGGCTAACTAATCGATTTTGAAAATAATCGTTAGCTGCAGCTCTAGTCCCCCTTGTAATAGCAATAAAGTTAAAGAAAATGTTACCTTATAATGAAAGCAAACCTGAGCAACCCTAAGCTTTATAAAAGTGGTCAGGTAAACACTTCTATGTGACAGCTGGGCGCTGTCTACAAAACGGTACCAAGATCACTAAAGCTATATACGTATTGCGGTCCTGAAGTGGTTAGAGTCCAAATGTTTTTAAGCCATTTCAAATGCTGATTAAATCACTTTATATTGTATGTTGATTAAAAGTTTTAGCTTCCTGCAGAATCAGCCGATCCTGAGCTCTGATCCAGATATCCTGTTTTGGAGTTGGTTCTTTTCCCTTGGAGGGTCCTATGGAGCTACCATTGTGTGTGCCAGGAAGCTGCGTCTCCACAAACACACAGGCACAGCAGTGCAAGACACCCCCTGCTCCCTACTCCTCCCTTCTCCAAGCTAGTGGACCGCTGCAGGAGTCTCTGCTGTCCGTGTGTGTGTATTCCTCAAAGCACAAGTTTTATTTGGAATGCTATGATAAGCACATGTTGGCATTTCCTTCATGTCTACTCTGATGCATTGAGGAGATATGCTGCATATTTGCATTTTCATCCAATACGCTGCAGCGCTCCTCAATGTAGCAATGTGGTTTGAACAAGGCATATAACAATAGTGTGAATGAGTCCTAATACTGCTAAGTCACATACCTATTTTTTGTTTTTCTTTAGGATTTGGTAGCGGAAATGCAAATCAGCAGACAGGTTTTACTAGCCATGATGGTAAGTGCACTTTTATATCATGCTGCTTTCATCATGCTGACCTCTCCTGTGAATGCTCATTGCATGGCTGTCAGGTGTGCAGATTACGTTTTTACACACAAGTGTGTTCTGTCATCTCTAAGACAAGATTTGGCATCCTTGAACAGATTTAAGCTAGTCATAGACAATATAATTTTGGTCAAATGTATTTCTGGAAATTATTTCATCAGAGCATTTGATGATGCTGTCTTTGGAAAAAAATTACTTTTGAAGGCTGTGAAAATTTTGTTTGCCAAGCCATTGCTTTGTATTTTAACACGTTTTTAGGATGCTCAGTAGTGATGCAATGTCACAGGTGCCTCGGCACTATTTAGAAATAGATTAAATCAATAAATGAAATCAATAAAAGGATGCAAGGCTAAGTTTGTTTAAATTTGAGTGTATTGCATTTTTTTACTATTGTATTTGTGAACATTTTAAGTAGATGAGCCCATGAGGGTATAGTGTATATACCAGACATAGTGCACTTTATTTTTAAAACTACTCGTGCATATGCAATATATTGCACAAACCTTTCTTTGTACACCATGTGCAAAACGGATGTTCGTGCCCATTAAAGTTCTTCTGGATGAAAGCTTTCCTAGCACACGATCATTACAGTAACTGATATTTCCTGACTGCTGACCACATTCACTGTTACAATTTCATTTGTTTTGATAAGAAACCAGAAAATTCCATTGCCTTTTGATTTTTCCGCTCACTACTGTTGAAATCATTATTTTATCCCCATCCTTTGAAAAATAAAAATTTTGAAAACTATGTATGCCATGCATGTGTAGCAGCATGGTACAGGTTCCGAAGCAAAAACCAGTTGACTGTAAATTACGAAGTTTTCAGATTATGATAAATAGGGATGTACCGATACCTATTATTTGGACGAGTACTTGTACTTGCCCAAATGCTCCGATCCCAGAACTTCTGGGGAGAGGGAGCAAGTGCCGAGGGAGCATGGAGTCTTGCTCCAATCAGGAAGCCGGGTGGTGGGTTATGACCCGGCTTCCTGATTGGCTAGAAAGCCGGCTTCACTTGTTCGGCAGCCTGGCTTCCTAACCAATCAGGAAGCCAGGTGGCATGTAATGACCCGCCTCCAGGCTTCCTGATTGGTGAGGAAGCCAAGCTGCCTAGGAAACAGTAAAGCCGGCCTCCTAGCCAATCGGGGAGGCGGGTCATAACCTGCTTTCCTTGATTGGCTAGGAGGCCGGCTTCCAGGAACCAAATAGTAAGCCGGTCTGCACGTCATGAATCGCGTCCCGGCTACCTAATTGGTCAGGAAGCCACGCTGCCCTGAAACAAGTGACGTGCCCCCCACCTCCCTGATTAGCTAGGAAGCCGGCTTCACTTGTTGCTAGGCAGCCTGGCTTCCTGACCAATCAGGAAGCCGGACGGCACCTCATAACTCAGAGAGCCTCGGCAAGTAAGGCCTGTGTTCTTTCGCTACAACACCGGCTTCACAAGCAATCAGGAAGCCAGACGACTGGTCATGATTCGCCACCCGACTTCCTAATAATCTGGGCACCGATACTCAGTATCGGCGAGTACCGGGAAAAAAAAATACTCCATTCCGGAAAACCGCTTTCGGTGCTTCCCTAATGTCAATTTACACTAATAAACTGGCAAACAGTTGCAAATGTTAATGACTATAGGGTATATGTAAAACAAGACATCGCATTAGGCACTTATGCATAATACAATTTGCTAGTGATTTACCCTACATAATTGTCATTTTAAGCAGAAGGTGAATGCTGGCAATGGTGAGATTTGACTTAAGATCTTTACACTATGAATGTCAGAAGGCTGCTGTTTGGTATGACCATGATTTCCTGCTGACAATATGGTTTTCTGCTGAAATTGTACATTTTGTTTTTTGCAGGTTTTCAAAATGAAACTTCTAGTTTTGGAAGGGGAAGGCGAGGTGGAAGAGGTGGTTCTTTTTCTGGTATGGTTAACCGCTTTAGATTTAAGCTGGCCATACACCAGTAGATTTTCTATAGATTTTTTTTTATTTTTTTTTCTATCAGCCCATGGTGGATGGAGGAATCTCCCGCTGGGCCAAGCTTCAGTATCATGATAGTGGGCTCCGGTGGCTGTCAAAATACTTGAAAGATCTGTTTGGATTCAGGTATTTTGACAGCTAGCTGACCTGAATAGCAAGATACTGAAGCTTGGCCCAGCGGGAGATCCTTCCATCCACACTAGTGTAGATGGAGGAATCTGTTGCACTTTTTTCATCTGACCATAGAAAATCTGCAGATAATCTATAGGTGTATGGCCAGCTTTAGACATTTTTACTTTTTTTTATTATTATGGCACGTTATAATTTGACTTGTTTTCCATGAGAAATATTTTCATTGCAGAGATATCTACTCACGTTACTGTGTTATAATAGCCACATGTTCTCGTCTTTAATCCATTTAGATTTAGGTGTACGTTTAATAAACTGTGAGCGTGTGATAAGCAGTGAGAAGGCTTTTCTCACCTTGGCAAAGTGAAAAGTCTAGAAAATGGTGTTTAATAACCCTTGATAGTCAGGTAGGAACTGAAATATCTCACCTCTTCTCATCCTGGTGATAAGTACACAGAAAGTAATGGGAATGTACCTGTTTAATAGAGGGAGAAAAGTAGAGAACAGCTTTATCACTGGATAAGTATTGTGAAAAGTACCCTTGATTTAGCACCCGTCAGACCTGGTGAAAGGCCTTTTTCTCGAGAAGCACCGAGCAAAGATACAGGAACCTCCTCCTCTGTCACTCAGTTCTTCTCTGTTTCCAGTCCTGAGGAGAAGTTTGAGTGGTATGTTCTATTCAGAGCCTAGTGCTATTCTATCCAGCTGTTACCGGTATCAAATACATAATAAATACATATACTATAATATAATAATTAACCACCTGCTGTCCGGCCGTTGTATTTAAACGGCCGGACAGCGGACGGAATGCGGGTGGGCGTTTTTAAATGTCCTAACCCGCCCCGCTCGTGCACGCCGCTAGACCGTGCGCACGAACGGGAAATAGGCTTTGAATGTAAACAGCCAGCGATGGCTGTTTACATACAAACGTTCAGACATCTGTAGAGACGCCCCATCACTTGTAATATGCGTGCGTTTGTGCGGCCCCCTCCGTTGCCGCTGCTGCTGGCGATCCCGAGCTCCGCTGTGCCCGGACAAACTACAGTGTAGCCAAGCTGCGGTGCGAAGTGGAAGGTTGCTTTTTTTTTCGCATCGCTTCGCCTGCAGTGTCACAGCCTTGAGAGGGAAAAGGAGGGAAGTCTGTCTTAATGCCACCCTTCCCTCATGAGTGACAGTTTCAAGTCCCCTCACTGTATCTGTGTAGTGTGAGGTTAAGTTCAGTAAGGTCATGTGACCTTAGGGCTTGTTGAAGACTCAGAAAAACAGGCCCACCAAATTAAGTTTGAAGGATGTCTGGGGAGCATGTTTTACAGGCAGATGCACTCCACACAAGTCTGTAAGACCATTTTGCCACCATGGTCCGCCGTTTATGGTGCATTAATACCTGCTGCTAGTGTGTTTGCACACACACAGTGCTGATGCACCTATCTCGGGACAGCAGGCTTTTTTCAGGGACGCCAAACATTCTAATTTCCAACATGTGTCAGAGTGCCCACTTACATTGCTTGGCTCCATCAGAGTGCCCCTTTAGAATTTTTAACCCCGTCACTGCCTCGCATTGCGGCCGCCTCTGGTAGTTTGATTTATGCTTTTGTACTGGTACATGCTGAACAAATCCGAACATGTAAATCCTGCTTTTTAGCAATTTTCATCATTTTAACAGAGAAATAACTGTTGCACTTTGCTATAGAGGTGCTTTGTAATATTGTTATTGGGTGGTTTGGCAGAGTAAACTATGATCCTGCCAGGAGGATTGTAGATTATCACAAAGGATGTCATTGTGCAGCTCAGAATACATTCCCCGCATTGCTTTCTCTACTGATCACCGTGATGACTTATCTCAGGCTTTCACAGATGTTTCGTGTGATAAGTTTTCTTTTCGCATGTTAAACAGCCTCTGTGCAGCAGAGTAAAACAAAGTGATCTGCTGAGTAAAGTTAACTCGTGATAAAGCTAGTTTAATCACGGTTTATTAAACGTACACCTTAGTCGTTCTGGTAACTGAAGAAAACATTAGTTCAACATTTGGCCGTGGCAATACAGTTATGGTGCTGTATAACACCTCTGCTGCTTTCCTCAATTCTGTTAAAGTTATTCTTTTAACAATAAAAGTACTCAACAGCTGCACATACAGTTACAAATACCCATCAGATTCAACACTCAGCGGATACATCGGACCTGCATTTCTGAAGACCCGTTAACCACTTGAAGAGTGGGGTGTTAAACCCCCTTCCTGTCCAGGCCATTTTTCAGTATTCAGAGCTGCAGTACCTTGACATTTGTCATGCAACACTGTACTGAAATTAATTTTATATTGTTTTTGGGGACAGATGGAACTTTCTTTTGGTGGTATTCAACACTGGGGTTTTTTTTATTTTTTACTTTATAAAAGAAACAAATATTTTCCCTACATTATCTTATGAAACATTTATTGTTACCCAATCTTTTAGAAAATATAAATGAAGGTCATGTAGGGTAAATAGACGCTAAACATGTCAAACCTTAAAATTGCATGTGCCTGCAAAATTGCAAAAAAACGGCCATACACAAAATTGGCCATAGGCGACGCATTAAAAACTATTACCGCTCATCAGTTTAGTGTTAACAGTGGTTGATGGTCCTAGAACAGATCAGCAGGAGGACATGTGCTGATCTCCCTCTGATCTTGGTAGAGAGAACATACAAGCGATCAAGCAGCTCCATGGCCGCCCGAACGCTTGTATGTGAACAGCCATCGCCGGCTGTTCACATGGCAGTCAGAAGCCGGCAAAAGCACATTTTAAAACGTCCTTAAAACGACAGGCCCAAGGTGGTTTTTCCTTGGGCCTGTCGGATGCATTGCCTGTCTCTCTCTTGGACTTTTTAAAAGTTCCAGTGGTTATAGAGTTTAACTCCCTGTAATGTACAATCAAGAAAATCCTATTTTTTGTGGTTTTTTTTAAAATAGTTGTGATGTGTTTGTCACTGCATGTAACATGGGTTTTTTTTCCTCCTTTTGATTACAGGCCCTTTATGAATCGGCAATGCCTAATAATTTTTGCTCAGGCAGTGACGTGGACTATGGCTGGGCACACACCTTACAACCATCACAAGACTTTTGTCTTGCGATGGTTGTAAGGTACTTAAAAAAAACGTATGATCTGCCTATCTTGCATGGGCAGATCGTACTTGCGATGATCGCAAGCCACGCCCCCTGAGGGGCGGGCTTCCGATGACCGCAACGCCGAACCGGCAGTGTGCGCTTGCGCACACCGGCCCGTCCGGCTTTTATCTCGCGAACATGCTACACACCCGCCGAACATGGTACGATGCTCGGCGGGTTTGAAACATATTCGGAAGTTTAAAGTCGTGCGATATTACATTAGTAGAGGTCGCACGGCTTCCACACACCTTACGATATCGTACGATCGCGGGATTTCCCGCGATTATCTTATGATTATCGTAAGGTGTGTGGGGACCTTTAGAGCTTATTTGATGATCACAGTTATATAGGAGACATCACTACATAAGGAGACCAAACCTGACGTCAGCAGTGTACTTTGTATTTCAGGTTTTAGCTGAAAAACTATACTATGCCATCTGTTAAGGAATTGTTGCAACAGGTTGAAAACACGTTGCTTTCCCAGCATTGAAGATATGCTTTTCTGAATATGTATCTCCACACTGTTAATTTTTTTCAGGTGATGGTTCAGGTGATTTTGATGAGCAAAGAGATTCTGAGAGAAGAGGTTAGTCTTTTGTGTTTGAAGAAGTTTCCTTCTCTTACAACAGTGAATTACATTTTTTTTATTGCTTCAGTAGTTTTGTTTAAGGTGTCTTAACTGAAGCTGCAGCTGGTGTTCTATTTCATTTTAGGTGAACGAGACGGTGGCAGGGGAAGAGGTTTTGGAAGGGGTGAGTACAATGCAAAATATGCTTTTTTTGGCATTGCAAAGTTACCATTGCAGTTACATAAGTGAGGTGATAGTCCTGTGTTAAATTGTTTTAAAGAATTGCGCCTTGGTATGTAGAGTTCCAAATCACTACCACTTGAGAAGGGTAAAAAACCCTGCACACAGGTACAAATTGCTTGTAGCCTGTGCATGCTCTGCTGCAGATTTCATTCTTAAGATTGCCAGTATGTTTATCACTGCCTCCCACACATTCCTATTGGCCATCATAATTATGGGCTATTTGGATGTATGTGGGTAGTAGGGGTTGCCCTATCAGAACGCTTTGGCATTGAGCAACACATGGACTGAAAGCTGCTGCATATACACCAATGAGTCATAACATTATGACCATCAACCTAATAAGTACTTCACCCTTATGCCGCCAAAACAGCCCTGAGCCTTTGAGGCATGGACTCCACTAGACCTTTGAAGGTAAGATGTGGTTTCTGGCACCAAGCTGTCTGTAGCAGATCTGCAAAAATGTTTAATTAGGTGGTATATGTCAAAGTAACCACATCAATGGCAAGACCCAAGGTTTCCAGTAGAACATTGCCCAAAGGATCACACCTGCTCCCACAGTGCATCCCGGTGCCATCTCTTCCCAGGTAACGCACACGCACTGGGCCATCCACATAATGTAAACGAAATCATGATTCATCAGACCGAGCAACCTTCCGTTGCTCTGTGGTCCACTTCTAATGCTCACATGCCAATTGTAAGCGTTTTTAGGAGTGGACAGAGGTCTTCATGGGCATCCTGTCGGGTCTCCAGCTACGCAGAGACCTGTATGTAACAAACTGCAATGCACTGTGTGTTCAGATGCCTTTCTATCTCTACCTGTTAACTTTTATTGCTGGTTCACCGGGTTTCCTTCCTTGGACCACTTTCAGTAGGTACTGACCCACCAGAACCATACCAATTTGGCCCATTTCAAAGTCACTCCAATCATTACTTTTGGCCATTTTGTTTTTGAGTCATGTCCTCGCTTTTATTATTGATTTGTGCCGGTTGCTTGATAGACATGAGCATACTATCAAATTTTGTTAACAAAATTTCCTGTGTACATCTCGCTGCAGGCCAGCAGCTAGATTCTGCAGTTGGCAGCTGACTAAACAGGGAGCAATAGCCAGCGTGCTATTGGTAATTTGAAATTGCAATAGCAGGCTGGATACTGCACCCGTCCACAAGGCGTGGACTTGAAAGATGGGGGCGTTACGAGAGTTAATAACTCAAGCAGGCAGAAACTATAGTTAGCAGACACCGATCCCCCATGGCTGCTGGATAACGGAGTATACTATATTTTTTTAAATGTGGATAGATTTTTGATGGATGTTTCTATAGGAAACCCCTATTTTAAGCTTGCATTCAGTTCGAGTTGTGCATTAGAAGCACTTCAGCTTTACTGTTGATATTTTTGCCACTGAATTAGAATGCAACCCAATGGACTGGTGGTAGGTGCTTCATTCTGAGCCTTGATTTACAATCTTTTTAATCCCACTCTTTTTCCTGAAGGTGGCTTTAGAGGAAGGAATGAAGAAGTGGGGGTGGAGTCGGGTAAAGGTAATTCATTATGAGGATGGATATGTTTGTGTATCTGCACATTTTCTTGAATTTTGTAAGTAAGGTTTTCTTTTTTTCTTAAGGGGCAGAGGAATTTGAAAGTTCTAATCAAGGTAAGCAATTTGCTGAAGCATTCTTTGATGTAAGAAGGCTTTGTATTATCTAAAGTTTTAATGTGTTCATATATATATATATATTTTTTCTTTACCAATAGCGCCGAAGGTGACATATATTCCCCCTCCGCCACCAGAAGAGGAAGCCGATATCTTTAAACATTACCAGTCTGGCATTAACTTTGACAAATATGATGACATTGTGGTTGACGTCTCTGGAAGTGATGCTCCACCAGCAATACTGGTTTGTCTGTTCCCTCTTCACAAAAGATTAATTTATGAACATGTCGCTAGTGTTAGATGACATGCATACTTCTCTGTGCTAAAAAGGGATTTTTTGTTTCTCTTTTAATGACTGAGTTCTGTAGATTCAGTACCTTGGTTTATACTGTCACCGGATGATTTGGACACTAAGTATAATCAGACCTTGTAGTAAAATGCTAGGTCTGTTTATAAGATTTGTGCGCCCCCCTAAAAATCTGTGGCTTATAGTTTTTTTTAAAATTGTATACTTACCGCTATCTGCGCTGCCTAGGTAAGGGTTTCCTGAGGTTTGGAATGGGAAGGAGGGGGGGCAATTTTGGCAGAGGTTGTGATATCCTCTTGCAGCAAAAGGGGGGCACTTTTTACTACTTCCTTCATGTTAATTAGTGGCCGTTACTCTTGCTGCTAGTGTCTTCCTTCACTTTAGATGTGGCCCAGGCTTTAGTGTCTGCCTCAGGTTTTCAGACAGTTTTCCCTTTGAATCTCTACATGCTTAGTTCCTCTCAGAGCACCTGGGAACCTCCTAGTTTTCTCCCCCACACATTATTCTACATACGTGATTCTTGTACCCTCGGTCATCCCTTAAATTGGCTGCTCGGCTATGTAGCGTGGTGTTCTGTGGTCATTTGGTAAAATTTCTGAAATAGAGGACCATTCACCATGTTGTTGCTGGCAAACCTTTAATACAGACCATGTGTGCTGACACCTGGATGGGAAGGGGGTTTAACACCGCGGATGACAACTGGTTAAGTTCTACAGTGTAGCATCATTTTCACTACATGATGCATGCTAGTCCTGTTCCAAGCTACTGGTTTCTGTGACCTCCTCTGAGATTCTTACACCCAGTCATGGAACATCTGTGGCTAGTTTGCTTATTGTTCAGCAATGCCGTGCGTTCCAGTGTAGTGCATTTGCAAAAAATTGTACATTTACTTTTATTCTGACGTAAACTGTTACACTACATTTGTGTATTTTATTTTAAATTAAGGATGGTATTAATTTTTTCGATCAGATAAAAAAATAATCAGCCAACTAATCGATTTTATGAAAATAATCGTTGCAGCCCTGATACAATTATCAGTCACTCTCCCTGGATGCATCAATGATTACATACAGTGTGCCGCCGGCGTTTACATGCAGCGGCTGTCACCCAATCATTGCCTTGAATGGGTGTGACAGCTGCCGCTTGTAAATGGCCGATTGAGGATTTCTGATGCAGAAGTCCCTAATTGCACCTAAATGTACAGTTGTGAATTGGGGCCTGAAGCTGGAGCATTGTTACCACTGTTCCCAGTAAGGTTGTATGCTTAGGCTGCTACAAGCCAAAACCCATAGCATTTTTCTTTAAGGCATGTACGCACACTTATTGAGTGTTCATTTCTAAGCACATTTCTGTCAGTTACCAGGTTGCTGCCTTTAGGAAAAAATGGGCTAACCGTAAGGCCTGGTTCACACCTGTACGTTTTGTAACGCGTTCAACGCTCCTATGAACGCTCTACAAAACGCTCAAACATGAAAATCCCATTGTTTTCTATGGGTATGGTTCACACCTTGCCGTATTTCAGCCCGTCTGAACGCGCTACAAAACGGCCTACGCCTGAAAAGGTACATGAGCTTCTTTGCTGCGTTTTTTGTCGCGCGTTTCCATTGGGATACAGCCAAGTAGCCCTCGGAAACGCGTGTTTGTCGCGTGGATTTTTACCGGGTAGTTTTGGCTACAAACTAGAGTCTGTCATGATCCATATGTGTACACAACAAGGTTCCCTGCACCCAGTTGTGGCGTCAAAATCAGAGTGACATTAATCTTAGGCTTATCGGCCCAAGGCTTAGAACGCTAGGACCCAACAACCATAGAAGTACTGTCACCTCCCTTCTGGCAAAGTTTGGACCTTCAGTGGAACTAAAGAAATGCTAGCAGGCTAGAGCAAAGCAAAGGGATGGGGACAAGGGATAGCCAGCAATATTACTGCTAATAGGCACGGAGGGGGAGGTTACCTGATGTTTTCCCCTGGGACTTCTACAGGGACTGCTACCAATGGTATGGTCAGCTCACCATTTCACTTCCTGTCCTCTCAATGCACCTTTCAGCCTATCAGCTGTATTCCATTCTTCCTGCCTTTAGTAAGGAAGATTTTGCAGCCTAGATGAATGCTTTGATAGGATAGACTTCTATGCTTGAGGCATTAGGCTGCAAAGGGCGCAAGCGTAGCCTTTTCGAAATGGTTTCAAATGCGGCCATGGCTACTGCCTTGTTACTGTACAGCTGAGCAGGCGGGTGAGATAGTATAAGTGCACACCTCCTCAGACTCAAGTTTCCTTTCAGTAAGATTAATCTGCTGTGACCCTGCCCTACAAACTGTGACACCATTTCGGTACTAGTTTATGAGGTGAAAGGATGTTTAGCTATTGCTCAGCTGCACGGGATTGCCGCAAGGCTGGAAGTATGGGTTCCCGTATGAAAAAGCCCACTAAGGCTTTTCCTTTGCACTCTAGTTGAGGTAGTTTTTGTGGATTGGCAACATTGCGAGAAATTATTTTCCTGACAAATGCTTTGCACAACATTATCCCCTTAAAGCCTTCCTCAAAAATGGCAGCGCCTGAGGTACATGTGGCTATTTTTTCCTCGGTAGATTCCGGACTGTCCCAGTGGAGGATGTCCCGGCCTTTATGAAATTGGTGAATAAACGGCCAGAAGCCTTTTTTAAGGCACACTTTGCTCTGGTTGGGCCTGCTCTGCAACCAGCAGCCATGTCCATGGTGGTATGCCAAACCGTAGAGGTGCATGGCTAGGGATCCTAGCTCTTAATGCATCTGGAAATTTCCCAGTAGCTCTGCACTATGTGGATGTTTGATAACACTTTCCATCAGCTGTCTAGGCTGGGATTGCCATCTGTGCAGATGTGTAGACTCCTGTGACATAGGTATTAGTCAACAGGACTAGCCTATAAGAAACGCTTGGAATGCCTTTTGGTGGGTGGGACGCCATTATTTAAAAGGTTACTGAGGGCAAAAGCCAGCAAACAAACTTAAAGGAGAACTATGAAGTGAGTGCTTTTCACTCACCTCATCCTTCTAGCCGACCTTTGACAATGAGACTGTCACAGGTCGGCTCAGTAGATCGGGAGGTGAGCGAACACATACCGGCGTTCGCTCACCCCTCGATCCTGTCACGGCTCTCTGCCATAACGGGAGGGGCAGGATTCCCTCCGATCCGCCAGCGCTGACTGGCGGTACGGGAGGGGGGTGGGTACAGCTGGCTCTGCCTCTAGATAGGCAGAGTCAGCTGTCAGTCACGCAGCTGGGCGGATCCCGGCATACTGCGAGCAGCTCGCGGTATACTGAGCCTAGGGTGAAGGGATGACACTAGTTTGTGTCCTCCCGTTACCCTAAGGAGAACTATGGGGAAAAGCCTAAACACCATAGTTCTTTAAGGTTTCCTCTGGTAAGTCTTCCTAAGCTGCTGCCAGGGAGGGCTCCTTTTCAACCTTCCACCTTTAAACATAAGCCCTGGACCCCGAAGCCGTCCAAGTCTGTCAAGTAATTCAAATCTCCCTTCAGTATTGGATGTGTTATCTTCAAGGGTGACTGAACAGGGTCCAATCTGACAATGCCACAGCTGTGGTGTACATAAACCATCAAGGAGGAATCAAAAGTAGAGCTGCTAAAAAGAAGCGGACCTGATCCTGGTTTCGGCGAAACTTCATGTCCTGGCCCTGTTCGCTGTACATGCTCCAGGAGTGAAAAATTGGTAGCCGGGCTTGCTCAGCAGGCAGATGCTCGATTCCAAGGAATGGTCTACTGCTAGCAAACAGTAGATATATGCAAAAACATAAAAAGTTACTAAAAAGGTAATTACCTGTGTCTCCACCGCTCACTCCCATCTGGATCTTCTCAAGCAGCCGAGCAGGATAAGGCGGGTGCATGCGCAGTAGATATCATTGCCAGGGAGAAGGAGAGACACAGTGGAGGTGAATGCACGTAACCGGGAGCGTGCACGTTGGACAGACACCGTAGCCCATCCTAGACACACTCGAGTGATATGCTGGAATCTGGTACTTGCGTTTCTCCAGCGAGTTACCTTTGAACCTATCGGAGATATCTCTTGCGGATCTTATGTTCAAGGTTTCTTTCCTTGTTATTCTGCTAAGAGTGTTTCTGAGCTGGTAGCACTATTTAATCACAAGGATAAGGTTGTGCTTAGGGCAAAGGATTTCTGTTTGCCTATGGTGTTGTCTTTTCATGTTAATGGGAACATCATCCTTTCCTTCTCTTATCTTGCCCCAAAATAATTTAAAGTGATATTAAAGGCAAACATTTTTTTCCCTCCCCCCATGTAAATGTTAGCACTTACCTTAAATGATGTCTCTTTTTCCGATCTTCCTCTTCTTTCCCCATGTTTTCATCTGTCCCTCCAGCGGTGTGACGTCACTCCGATCCAGCGCTGACTGCTCTGTCTCTCCGATCCAGCGGTGTCTGCAGGCAGGTGCACGCGTCCATAGACTTACCTTGCCTCTCTGCTCGTCTCCCGGCCGAGAATCGGAACTGCGCATGTGCCCGCCCCAAGATCCTTTGCGGCCGTACGAGCAGTTCCTGATTTTCGGCGCGGGAGCGAGCGTCGATAACAAGGTAAAGTTGTTTTTTTTAAAAATTATTTTAAGTGTTTTTTTTTTTGTTTTTTTTACACTTCTGGCCTATATCTACTGCTTGCTAGCGGTAGATATAGGAGGCTTTAGAACCCCTTTAAGGACATCTCCCTCCACTGTTTAGATGTGGTTCAGGCTATTCAAGTCTATCTCTCGGCTACTTTTTTGTTCTGACAAGATCCAATAATCGGATTTTCTTTGTCCTTCCTGAAGGAGCTCGCAAAGTGGCTTTCTGCATTTTGTTCCATCAACTCCAGGTGGATCAGATAGGCAATTGTGCATGCCTATTCTTTGAATGGTAGGGCTTCACCTTTTTACTGTGGTGCATTCTACTAGGTTTTTTTTTTCTTCAGTGATTCTTGGGCTTTTTGGCATCTGTATTGCAGATCTGCAGGCCGCCCTCTAGTTTTCTGTTCATATGTTCTCTAAGTTCTACCAGGTTGATGTTCAGGCATCTGCTCATGCTAGTTGGCCATAAGTTGCTACAGGCAGGTATCTTAGAGATTGGGGTTTTCCCCTGTTTTTGGAGGCTGTTAGCCGTTTGCTGTGTTGCCCGCCTCTCTGTTGCTTTTGCACATCTCAGTTGTGTATAAATTGGCTTTCTTTTGTACTGTAGGATCAAGAAAATTGGATTTTTTACTTACCAGTAAAATGTGTTTCATGGAAGACAGTACAGGAAATTGAACCCTCCCTGATAGGTCCTTTTTAATGCCTGCTAAAAGACTGAGGATTTCCTGGAGTGGGAGGTGTTATGAAATTCTTCACAGCTCTGGCCAGTGTCCAATTACCTGATGATACCTATATATTGCCCAGTTGTCTGTGAATTGCCTGTGTTTTTGTACTGTACTCTTAAACGGATTTTGCTGGGAGGGAGAAGTCCTATTTTGAATTCCCTTTAACCCCTTCGTGACTGACGTAGCAAATGAAAAAAGGGCCTCAGTCATGAAGGGGTTAAAACAAGCGGACACGTTTTTAGAGTTCTATTAACATGAGTGGAATACACAACAGGAGGAAGAACAGATAGACATAGGGGGGTCTATTCACACTATGTATTGGCAGCAGGGCTTTCATTTTAAAGTGTATATATACATTTAATTTGTTTATTTTGCATACCTGCTCATTTGTACTGTTGTCTTTATATCTTTGTAGACTTTCGAAGAAGCCAGTCTTCCTGGTACACTAACAAAAAATGTTGAGAAAGCTGGATATGTAAAATTGACTCCTATACAGAAACATAGTATTCCTATTATACTGGCTAGTCGTGATTTAATGGCTTGTGCACAGACAGGATCTGGAAAAACGGTATTTGCTATTTTACTTTGCCTCTTGTTCTTGTCCTCTAACACATGATTTTGTTTGGTAATCACTTTTGCAGCTAATACGAACTATTCTGACGTTTTCTATGTATTAAATTTCAGTGCATTTTGCTTAATATTTTTTCTCTTTTAGGCTGCTTTTCTTTTGCCGATTTTGGCTCACATGATGGTTAAAGGTGTTGAATCTAGTTCGTTTCAACTGCTTAAAGAGCCAGAAGCAATTATTATTGCTCCTACAAGAGAACTGATCAATCAGATCTATCTAGATGCCCGTAAATTTGCATACGGGTAGGTATCATAACATAGTGACACCTGACGCACAGTTTCTTTTTTTCCTATCTTGGATCTGTCCATTTTCGCCTGCAAAATGTTTTAAGGTATTTCAAATGCTGATTAAACCCCTTCATGACCGGAGACGTACACTATATGTCCCCATCATGAAGTGCCCAAATGACTGATCACGTACACTGTCAATGGCACTGCAGATGCCCCCGGCCTGCAGTGTGACCAGCCACACATGGCAATACAATGCCCTGCGCTCCAGTGCGGTATGATTGCACAAAATAGTCTCCACAACCGTTGCAGAATGCAAGGAGTCTTGCATTCTGGCATGGGACAGTGCGATCAGCGCACGTGCTTGTGGAAATAAGCCCTTCGAAAGTATGTTACTACCGTGAAAGAATCACACAGCAAAAATGTAAAAAGTGTCAGTTGTTAACGAAGAGAAACTTAAAAAAAAAGCTTAGATATAAGGGGTTAAATAACTTGCAAAGGATGCTGCTCCTTTCAAAAAAAGTTCCCTCGAAATTAACTTGTCCGCTGAGAACTGGCCTTAATATCCTGTTTTAGGTTGGCTCCTTTCCCTTGCTGGGTCCTATGGAGCTGCCCTTGTGTGTCTCCACAAATGCACAGCAAGACAATCCCTTCTTCTGCTCCCCACTCCTCCCTCAAAGCTAGTAGAAGAACAGTTGCTTGGGGCTGCGCTGTCCCTTGTGATCTTGTACCCAACAGGAAGTTGAGGAAAGTGGAGCTGAGAAAGTTAGAGCCAGGTGTTTAGCAGCATGATGGCTTGGGCAAAAAATTAAAGAAATACTTTGCTGGCCAATGTATATTGTTTGCTCTAGATTTGTTATTGAAAATATCTGAGCGTTTAATACTATAAGTTATGATCACTTTGCTTCCAGAACAATTTTTTACTTTTACTCACGTTAAAATTGTTATTTTTGATTAGAAAAATGCTAATGCATATTTTCTGAGCACATTAATGAATAAAAAGATGGTAGCAACAGTTTATCAAATCTATATTTTTAGTAAGTAGACATTGCATAGAAATTTAGCTCACAGAAACACAATACCCATTTTCTGTACACATTAAACGTGTGTGTGTTCGTGTGTTCTCCATGCCGCTGGGTGACTTACACCACCTATCCCAATCATTATTCTCCTTGGCATCAGGGACTGTATCTGGTCTCCACCAGACAAGATGAGGGCCTGGCCTGTAATGTACTCTCACTGGACCCTCCATAGACTGCCATCCATGGTATTGGGTGCAGCATGTGGTCAACTGCAGGGTTCTTTATAGGTCTAGGGCTATGATCCATCTAAGTGGTGCTTTGACACTGAAGACACCCTAGAGATCACATGACCGCTACCACAACCCTGAGGAGGTCTGAAACAACCTCGGGTAAGCAGTATATGCATGAAGTTTTTGAGTCTGAGGGTGGCCTCCCACAAGGCAGTGCCTTTCTCTGTTTGACTCTAAGCCCATGCAGCTTAACATTTTGCAGTGTTGGATGCTTTATCTGGATCTGTCGATGAGGGTGAAGTCTGACAATGTCAAAGCTGTTATATGAATCATCAGTGAGAAACCAGACGATGCAAAGCTCAAGCGTACCTGGATTTGTAATGGGTGGAACCTCAGTCCAGCGTTGTTCGCCATGCTTAGTCCAGGAGTTGGCATTTGGCCAGCAAACAGATTCAGTCACCAGTGGTTGGAATTGGGGAGTGATCTCTACTGCCTGTGGTATTTTGGCCACGTTGCTAATGGTGGGGGCTGCTACATGGGGGATCTTCCGGCATCCACATTCAACAAAAAAAACTCAACAGGGTTCCAGGATCCTACGCAAAGGATGATCTAGTTACTGTGGGATCTGCACTTTTCGTCTTTAAGACCCTTCTTGGGCTGCTTCACAGGTTTGAGGTGGAGGTTGTTTCAGCGATCCTCATGGCTCCCAATTGGCCTGGGTAAGTGTGGTATGCAGATATCCTCCAGCAGACCTTCCTTGGTCTCTTCTAGACTGTCCACCCTTTTTTTCTCTCCAGAAAACCTGTTCTCTATTCTACTAGATTGCTTGCTTTAAATGCTTGGCGGTTAACCCAGGTGTTGAGAGATACAGGTCTGTCTGACTTTGTTGTTCCTATGCTCTTGCATTGCCAGGGAGTCAACCTCTCACAAGGTGTACCACTGCATCATTTGGTGCAAATGGAGAAGTGCCACCTTTGGAAGTACTCCGTGGCTTTCTCCCTGTCTGGGCTGGATCTGCATTTTGCCTTGAGCACTCTTATGGGACAAATATCTGCCTTGACCGTCCTTTTTCAGTAAGCATTGGCCTCTTATTCCTTGGTTAAAGCCTTTGTGCAAAGGGCTTGCTCAAGTGGCTACTCTTAGGTGTCCTCTAGTAATGCTGTTGTAAGGTTGACACCTAGTCTTCTGTTCAGTTTAGGTGGTATAGGTTGCAGTCGAAGGTTTGTTTTTCCTTTGTTCTTCCTAGTGGCAGTTGTGTGCTGTCTAACCACACACACCGTCCCTTTCTATTGCTTTTGGACATCCTTGTCATCTGGGTCTCTGTATCCTGTTCTTTATGGCCCATTCCATAATAGGATTTTTTGATTAAAAGGGGTTATGTGAGGATCTTCACAGCAAGTGTCAAATAACCTGATACCTGCATTTACCCACTCATCTCGGAATATGCCTGTAACATAGTAGGTGAGGTTGAATAAAGGTCCATCCAATACCCATCTCACTTCGCATATCCTTGTGTGTGTATATATATATAGTGAAAGAACTCATCAGGGAATCCCACATTTTTACTATGCACACAAAAAAGACCCTTTTCGCAGTCCAAGATTGAACCACCTTTCGTCTAACCTCTTGTATTTTTCCTAAAATATTCTCAATATAAACAACTTATTCCAAATATTGTGGTCCCCATTGATGATTTTGAAGATAAGGTCCCCCTTAAAGGAGGTCTATGAGATGAGCGATTTCCACTCATCCTCATAGTTAGAGCCGACCTGTGACAAAGTAGCTGTCACACGTCGGCTCCATCGATCGGGAAGTGAGCAGAAACCTGCACAATCTGCTCACTTCTCGATAGTCTCCCTGCAGACAGCGGTGACTGCCAGTCACCGCTGAATTGCCCCTCTCCGATCCTTCAGCGCGCGAAGTGGCGGGCACAGCTCTCTAGATATGCAGAGCCAGCTGTCACTCACGCAGCTGGGTGGATCTCGACAGTAATGTCGGGATCCGTCCCGGCTGCTGCGCTCATAGTATTTATACTGAGCTTTGGGTCACGGGAGGACGCTAGTTTATGTCCTCCCGTGACCCTAAAGAGATCTATGGGGAATAACACCCCATAGTTTTCTTAAGTGCCTTATTTCTAAGGTGAATACGTTTAATTGCTGGAGGCGGTCTTCATAACTCAGGCCTTCAATCCCTTTTAGTTTTGTTGCCCTTCCCTGAACTCAAGCTCCTAAGGGTAGGTGACCTAAACTGCACCGCATACTCAAGATGTGGCTGAACCAGTGATTTATAAAGTGAAAGTATTACTGTTTTATCCCTTGCTACAATCCCTTTTTTTAATGCAGGACAGTATCCCGTTTGCTTTGCTGGACACTGTTTAGCATTGCTTACTATTGCCAAATCTGTGATCTATGAGCACTCCCAGGTCTTCATGTTTGACTTCCCTAATGTAGCACCCCCAAGTAGTAGTTTGCCCACACATTTCAGTATTAAATCGCATCCTTTAAAGTATCCTTTACTGTATTCCAAGAAATGTATTTAACTTGTATAAAAAAAAAATCCTATTTTCCGCTTGTCAAATCCATTTCGGTTTGGATTACCACCCTCTGTTTTCTGTGATCCACTCTTGTACTGCTTGCTACAAAACTGAGGTAGGCTATAGGAGTGGAGGTGTTATACAATATCCAACTGACAGCTGCGTTACCCATTTTTTTTCTCCAGAATTAACTGGCAATATCCTGTGAAGTACTCCAAGAAATGGATAAGACAAAATATTGCGTTACTCAAGGTGTTTGGATTGTGTCAATGTTTTCCATCTGACTTCTCTATCTTCACACTCCTATGACTAGCTTCCGCTTCCAGGGTTCCACTATCAACTTTCATAAAGTTAGAAATAATGCTGGTGAGATACAGCAGCTGGACACATCCATTACATCAGTATATCTATTTTAGTGTATTTTTTCCTAAAAAAGATTGATTTGATAACCATTTGTGCAAATATTGCACTGCAGAAATCACAAGTAGCGGGGTTTTTGTTTTCATTCTACATGGCCTCTATTTTCAGAAAATAGTTTGGGGATTTTGATTTCTGATTTTTAATGTGCAAAAACTGTTCTGGTCCCAAAGTGGTTGCTTGGCATCCAATTGGAAGAAAAAAAAAAACCCATTGAAAATTTTAATCCTATTGCAATATAATATTTGATAGTATATATTAACTAAGTGTTGCTTACAGAACATGTATTCGCCCAGTTGTGATTTATGGAGGAACACAGACAGGGCACTCATTAAGACAGATCTCTCAAGGATGCAACATTCTCTGTGCAACCCCTGGAAGATTATTGGATATCATCAAGAAGGAGAAGGTATGTACTGCCTGGGTTATCTTCTGTGATTTGGTGATCGTGTAAAGTAGGGATGCACCGATACCGGTATTTTTTTTTTCCCTATCTTGGATCTGTTTCGGCTCCATGCTCTCATCACAAGTGACGAGAGAACATGGGGCCGCTTCTCGGCCAATCAGGAAACCAGGCAGCGTGTAATGACGCGCTGCCCAGCTTCCTGATACAGGAAGTATCGGGCTAGGCATCGGAGCATTTGGGCGTGTACTCGTACTCGCCCAAATACTCTATCGGCACCGATATCGATACTAGTATCAGTATCTGTGCATTCCTAATTTAAAGTTACACTAAACCTAGGAGTTAAATCTTAAAAATGCATTCAAGTGCCTTTTAACTATTAACAAAAATGTATCTTTGTGTACATCTACTCCTCACTTAATCTACCTGTTTAATGACTGCTTGGACTTGCAACTAGCTTTCCGACCATTGGGTATTGTACACTGTACGAGAACTTGGGTCAAGCTCATCTCACGTCACCCTTTCTCAGTCTTATCTCGTTCCAGCAATTAGTCAGTATTTACTACTGTACATTGGTATTTGCGGTATGCAAACCTCTAATGTACTGTATATTAGTGCTGATTTCTTCAATTCCTCACTTAGTGACCAGTAGCAAGCAGTCAGGAGACTCCAGTCTTGTAATAGTAACCCACAGCTGGGGTTGTTAACCCCTTCGTCAGTCACGAAGGGGTTAACAATCTAGTTGTAGGAATGGAACTCGGTCGTTAAGTCAGTGTCTGTATTACTCAGCTGTAGATCCTTAAAATCATCTCTGAATTGGTGCTGACGGTGTCCTTTTTATTTTCCATTGTCACTGTATGTGTTAAGTAGCCACCGCTCCAAGCTCGCTTCCATGATCTACAATCTCACGTTTAGTTTACTAATTTGTATTAGTTATAGCCATCACGAGCTTTGATCGTTGCCTACTTTACAACACACAGGGAGCATAGGGAACAAACGTAGCCCCCCCTCCAGAATGAAGGACAGTGTCAGCACCAATTCAGAGATGATTTGAGGATCTCCAGATGAGTGATACACAAGCTACATGTTTACTAGGGTACATTATTATCATACAGGATTTATATAGCACCAACAGTTTGCGCAGAGCTTTACAATATAAGGAAGACATTACAATCACAATACAATTCATGATGAGATGGTAAGGAGGGTCCTTCCCGTGAGGGCTTAAAATCTAAAAGGGAGGGGCAAGTGATACATGAGGAGGTAGCTTTGTGGGGATAAATTGTTTGAGATTAAAATTTAACTCTAGAGTTGAGTGTCACTTTATGGCCCCCACCCCACAAAAGTAAAAGTTTAAAACATAAAGCTTCCACCACTTATGAAGTGCCAGCAACTCTCATTACTTAATCTACACCTGAATGTTAGGGCTTCTCTGCCTTTTGGCAATCCATCTTAGTAATAAGTCAAAAGAGATTATTCTCGCATTTAGGGTTAGTTCACACCAAAGGCAGTGCATTCCGGTCCGATTCCGGCCGCACTGCATCGCATTGCGGCCGGCTCACTTTTTGGCCGGGCTGGAGGGGGCGTGGCGTGCCATTGAAGTGAATGGCATCGTAGCCACACCCTGCGGCCGCAATGCTATCGCATGCACGGGATCGCAAGGCACATTGTGCCTGCAGTGCGATCAAAATGCTGCAAGCACTATTTTGTGCGCACCGCAGGCACAATGTGCCTTGCGATCTCGTGCGGGCGATAGCATTGCGGCTGAAGGTCGTGGCTACGGTGCCCTTCAATGGCACGCCACGCCCCCTCCAGCCTGGCAAAAAAGTGAGCAGGCCGCAATGTGATGCAGTGTGTTCTGGCCAGAATCAGACGAACGCACTGCCTATGGTGTGAACTAACCCTAAGAGGACATTAAAAGTTGCCATGGGATGTATGCATGCGGGCACTTTTCTTTTTTCTTTTTTACACGCGATTCATGTAGTAATTGAATGTTCCATGTTGTGCACTTTTCCAGCAAAGGAAATAATGCCCTTAAGATTTTGTAGCTTTTCAACATGAACTCTGTGCTATTAATCTTGTGTTTTTTGTTTTTTTCCCCCCCCCATACAGATTGGTTTAAGTAAGATACGCTTCCTTGTGTTGGATGAAGCTGATCGTATGTTGGATATGGGCTTTAAGGAAGACATTGAAACTTTGTTGCACAGTCCTGGAATGCCGAGTACAGAAAACAGACAAACACTCATGTTCAGTGCTACTTTTCCTACACAAATACAGCGGTAAATAATTCATCTTGGTGTGCAAATACAAGCATTTGTTATTAAATACATATTGTTTGTATTACATATCTTTCATTTTTACCACTGCAATATTACAAAATAATACAGCTTTGTGATTTTAGGGTCTGGAACTACTTGCTTTAGGCATTTGGGTTTGCTCTGTGCTGAGAAAAATACACACTATTTTTAGTTTTCTAAATCCACGTTTCTCAACCTCATTTCAGCCACGGCATCCTTTAAAGGAGAACTATGGGGCTAAGGCTTTTCCCCATTGTTCTCCTTAGGGTAACGGGAGGACACAAACTAGCGTCCTCCCGTCACCCTAGGCTACAGCTCGCGGTATTCTGAGACGCAGCAGGTGAAACGGATCTGGACAATTATGTCTGTATCCGCCCAGCTGCGTGACTGATAGCTGGCTCTGCATATCTAGAGGCAGAGCCAGCTGTGCCCTCCCCCGTCCGTTCCGCCAGTCAGCGCTGGCGGGGAGGGGGGAAACTAGCCCCTCCCCTGTCACGGCAGAGAGCTGTGACAGGGTCGAGAGGTGAGCAACCGCCGGTATGTGTTCGCTCACCTCCCGATCTACTGAGCCGACCTGTGACAGTCTCATTGTCACAGGTCTGCTAGAACTATGAGGTGAGTAAAAAGCACTCTCCTCATAGGTCTCCTTTAACAGTATGCAAAATCTCAAGGCTCCGCGGTCTAAAAGGTGGGCCCTTTTAAAATCCATACCAGACCCCTATCCCAGATAGGGGTCTGGTATGGATTTTAAGGGGGGATCCCATACAAAAACACAAGGAGCCCCCTTTCACTTCAGTTTCCCACTATACATCAGGAGCTCCCTCCATTCACAGAGTACCCCATCTCACTCTGGAGTCCCCTTTCCATTAGAGCCCACTATTTTCACATCAGAAGCCTGTCTGCACCATGGAAACACAGCGCCATGGCACACTCGTTGAGAAATGCTGTTCTAAACTGCGCTCAGATAGTGTAGGGTACCGGTTTCTTGTGTGTGAGGGAAAACTCTTGCCAGCTACAATGAAGAATTGTCATCTCCTGACCCCCTCCCAATGATTGAAACCCAAATTTTGCTTCAAATTAATGGTCTGGTTTCCCTTAATTACTAAGTGATTTGAATGGCAAACAAGTACATAAGGCATGGTGTGTTTTGGTTCATTGTAAACCGTTTAATATTCCACATAATATTTAGTAGCTGTATTTGTAAATGGCCTTTTTTGTATTTTTTTTCTTCTTTAACCAGCCTTGCCAGAGAAATTCTGAAGCCAGATTACTTATTTGTTGTGGTTGGCCAAGTTGGTGGTGCTTGCAGTGATGTGGAACAGCAGGTCATTGAAGTTGAGGAATATGGAAAGAAAGACAAGTTGATGGAAATCCTACAGGAGATAGGTATATACACGCAAGTAGCGATTTCTTTCTATTAAGTTATAAAAAAAAAGACCTATATGGACTCTGCTGTGATCACTATTTGTAATAAAGCGACACACAACCTCCAGCTTTTTAAAAAAAATTTTGCTCCTTATACACATCTACTCAATGAAAATTCTCCAAAGCCACATTTATTTGTTTTTAAATTGTCTTACTATTGATGTCGTTAGAAAGTCCGCTGTGCTCGCTCCCGTTGCTCTTCTCTCCCCTCACACACTTGGTAAGAGCCGTGCACATTGATTCTGGTCATGTTCACATCTTACAACTCCCATGAGGCAGCTAGGAATCATCTCTCAATGCACACAGCTTCCCCCTCCTCACTGTGACAGTTTCACTGCTTGTAATCTCTGCAATGCTCTGAATTATCAAAACTACTTACAACAGCTTTACAATGAATCTACAACAAACATCACGTTTACAACAATCTACACAGAAAAACAACTTTATTTCAAATGTAGGAGCTATATCCTCTGACTGCATGACCAGATTCAGCACCTGAGTTGAGACTCAGAAGAAATTATGAGGCTGGTGACAGCTCACATGCTGAATCTCCTCACAAGTGGCTCCCCCCACACACCCTCCTTGGTAAGCCAGGAGGAGAGAAATCAAAGAACATAAATTAGTTTGGGAGAGCTGAAGAAATCCCAGCTCTTTGCAGAGTCTAGAGGGCAGGATTTGTGGGTGGAGACTGAAGTCTTTCACATGAACCAGCACCCAGGGTAGCTACTTTTCAGCTTCCATAGGGACCATGGAGAAGAAATAAAGCCACCCTCTGGCAGGAAGTTGTGGCTGAAGAAAAATAAAACGAATTCTGGAGCATTTAGAGCTAAATGACAAAAAAAGGTACACAGTCATTGATTATTTAATCAAAGCTATTTTTATTTAATTTCTGAGTTTAGTGTCGCTTTAAAGTGCAACTCCAGTCAAAACCTAAAGGAAAATGTTGACCTATATAAACCACCTCTACTCTGTCTAAAGCAATTCGGCTGCTTTTTTGTTTAAAGAATCCATGGTTAATGTTGATGTATTAGAAAGAATATTAAACCATGTAATACGATCTAAAATGTCTCTTATCAGTGTCTTACAAACACATCAGTATGATTTGAGGGCTGTGTAATTAGTTATTTTTTATTGAGGTTTGTGTATTGTAATCTTAATGTATACATTATTTTTTTAATTTACATAGGCCATGAGCGAACAATGGTGTTTGTGAAAACTAAGAAGAAAGCAGATTTCATTGCTGCATTTCTCTGTCAGGAAAAAGTCCCATCAACCAGTATTCATGGGTAAGGGTAGTTCATGGTGCAGATTTTTCTTTTGCATACACAAGATGTGCTTAAACCCAGTTGGACAATGTTGTAATAGATATTCCATTCACTCTCAAACTGCTTTCCTCACATATTTCTCCCATTTTTATTCATGTGTAGAAAACATGCCGGTTCATTTTGTTTAAAAGTAATTTCTAAACTTTATTATTCTTTCCAGTGACCGGGAACAAAGAGAGCGAGAGATAGCCTTAAACGATTTTAGGACAGGACAGTGTCCCGTAATTGTTGCCACTTCGGTTGCTGCCAGAGGATTGGACATTGAAAATGTCCGTCATGTCATCAATTTTGATATACCAGATGATATCGATGAATATGTTCATAGAATTGGACGTACTGGACGGTGTGGCAATACAGGAAGAGCAATCTCGTTTTTTAATAGAAAGGGCAACGATGAACAAAATATTGCTCGTTCACTTGTGAAAGTCTTAAGTGATGTAAGTTAACTAATTCTTTCAAAGTGTGTTCTGGCAAATGTAGACCAAAATCATTCTTTTCCTTTGTTGTGTCAGTCTTTGGGAGTGAGAAATTGTTTGAATATATTGTAGTGCTGTGGTGCTTAGACTCTAAATTTATGATTTTAGGCATATACAATTGCCTGGCACTGTTGATATTAACGTTTAAGATTCCAGCTCTATTTGGTAGTCTCTAACTCGTATGCAACAGCCTTGCTGCTAGAGGTAAATACTTTGATTATCAGATAGCATGAATGTTGCTCATTTTTCAAAGGGATACATTGCTGTAAAATATAAATCTCATTCAAATATAAATTTGCAAGCAGTCAGGAGACTCCAGTCTTGTAATAGTAACCCACAGCTGCATGTTACATGCCACTGCCATCTGCCACCAATGTGTGTTCCTCACGGATCAGTAAGAATAAAGGTCCTTTTTGAAGCTTAAAATGATTGTCTACAGTGGGGAAAAAAGAACCGTGCTGGTCTCGATCAGTGTTCCAGCCTGCAGCACATCAGAGTTTGCAGTGCTGGAACACTTGCGATGTTACAAGCCAGAACTGTCCTAGCATAATGAGCAGATTTGCAACTCTGATGTGCTGCTGGCAAGAGCACTGATAGAGCATGACAATATCCTTTTCCTCTCACTGGGGGGGGACAATCATTATTTGAAGTCTTTAAAATGAACTTAAAGGGCTTTTAAGTGTGAGCAAGTACAAACTGCATATCATTCAAAGAAGCCACGAATAATAGTTCTAAGGCTGGTGTAGCTCAAGCAGACACAGACGTGATGTTTAATCATCATGTACTGATTCTTCATGTTTTGTATTGGAGTTTTAGTAAATTGGGGAAATATTTAACATCGATAGAAATATTTCCATCTGAAGTGAAAATCGTGTTGGCGGTTTGTTCAGCATACATTGGGAACAGGGTAAACTCTTGCAGATACAATTCTTATTTCAAAAATATACTTGCACAACTAGTTAGGTTGAAAAAAGGCAAAACTGAGGGAGCCTATTCCTCTTTTCCACAGCTCTTAGGGCCTGGTCACACGACATCCGTTTTGTGTGCTGACCGGATCCGTACGCTGCTGCACTCAAAATGTATCCCTATGTGTTTTATGGGCTACAGTTCTCACGTGAAAAACGCACTGCATCAGTCTGCAGATCCATACCTGATCAGGACCTGATATCATGTGAACAGGCCCTTACTGAGAAGAAGCCTTTCTGTATGCGCAGGTAAAACCTTTCTCCATCATCCATTGAGGGACGCAGCACTGAAAACTTCTGAGACGTAGGGTTATGCTGCTGCCTTCAGGAAATATGGACACTAGGCAGAATATATACTTGTAGAGAACTTTATTTGGTTCTTTTATTTGGATTGTTTAATACCAAACTTTTCATCCTCCTCCCAAGGTGGTTTCGGCCTTTCAGTTAAACGAAGACATTTTACCTTTGGTTCCTGTTAATTCTAATGAAATGGATCCTTAGCTTGGATGTTATGCAGGCTATCATCTTTCAGCCACAGCTTCTTTTGCGGGCCGTTCTAATCCCCCCTCCCCCCGTTTTTTTCAACGAAACGCAAGTCAATTTGCCTTTTCATGGTTGGACCATTTACGCCACGGCATTGCGGTGGTGTTGACTAAAAAATAAATATATAGTAAGGCATGCAGTACTTTAATGCAGCAGAATACAATGCGGACCTGCTTCACACACCGATACGCCCATAACACTGAATATGTTGTGCGGGGCCCTGCACACCAGCTGCTGTGCAATTAGGGCAGTGGCTGGTGTGAATGAGCCCTTAAGGTGCCCATACACCTTTCAATTATCTGCAGATTTTCTGTGGTCAGATGGATAAAGTGCAACAGATTGGCCCAGGTGGAGATTACTCCATCCACACAGTTTAGAGGAATCTGTTGCACTATTTTTCCTCCAGATGCAAAGCAAGCCCTATTCTCCTTTGCAATTACCTTTTATCGTGCATTGTTTTTGACCAAGTTCACTGTAGGGACCATTTTATGTAGGTATACATGATGATCATATCCCCCTTAATTGCATCTTCAAGTACAAATTCAGTTCAGCTAATCTTTCCCCACAGCTGAGATCCTCCATGCCTCTTAACAGTTTTTGCCCTTCTCTGCATTTTCTCTAATTCAACATCCTTTTTGTGAGCTGTTGCCCAAAAATAGTTATTCATTAATAACCCTAGTTTTCTTATGGAGTGTTTGTTACTGTTTTGCACAGGCACATCAAGAAGTACCTGCTTGGCTTGAAGAGATCGCATTTAGTGCCCACGGGATGCCTGCCTATAATCCACGATCAAATACGTTTGCATCTACAGATGACAGAAAGGTAATATATGTTGTCCAAAATAGAGACGAGTGTTCTTAAGTATAAACCCTAACATTCAATCACAGAATGAACTGCAGCACAAAAAATTTCCCAATGTATAAAATGTCAGAAAAAAAGCAAGACTCACTGATCCAATTCCACCAGACTTGAGATCAATACAAACATCATGTGCAGGCTGCAGTGTGCTCCCACCTGTCAAACAATATCTCTCCAATCAGAAAAATCCAACTTTATTACTGTAAATTCCATGCAAAGTTCAAAATACAAGGTATACACCACCACAGTACCTCCAATGCCGCTCATGCATTTCATGACCCGGGCCCAGGCGAAATGAGTGATGCGTACTATGGTGGTGTATACCTTGTATTTTGAACTTTGCTTGGAATATGCAGCAATAAAGTTGGATTTTTATGGACCTTGGTTTCTTGCAGCTGATTGGAGAGATAGTTTGGCTGAAAAAATTGATATAACGCTATAAGAAAAATAAAATATCCATACAATAATAAAATCAAAATGGTATCTTTTATTACAGGTGCTTATATAGTGCCGTCAATTTTAAACAGTGCTTTACATACACATTCACATCAGTCCCTTCCCTCAAGGAGCTTACAATCTAAGGTCCCTATCTCATATGCATACATACCAGCCTATTAACCTTCCAACATGTCTTAGGAGTGTGGGAGGAAACCAAAGTACCCGGAGGAAACCCATGGAAGTCCAGGGAGAACATGCAATCAGATAGTGTCCTGACTGGGATTTGAACTTGGCTGCAAGGCAGAAGTGCTAACCACTAAGCCACTTTGCTTGGTAACTTAATACCTACCACTTAAGCTGCACCCCACAATCTTCATCAGACTGAGCTGGGGTAACTTTATCACACTTGGTGGAGCAAGACCACACACTTGGAAAGACTGCATCAGCGTTGCCCTTACATTACTGACATACTGAGCTGTTCCATGTGCACATTAGGAATGCACTATTCAGAGTTTTCACTTTATTTCTTAAACTGATTCTAAATATAAAATATTGTTTTTCTTCCTGAACTGCTTAACCCTGGAATTTGTGTTGCTGGAAGCCAGTTTATTAAATTGGATTCCTGCTATTGCTGCTACCTCGAGTGGAAGAAAGCCTTTCAAAACCTTGTTTCTTGATCATACATCATAGGGCACAGGGAGCTGATTCTGGAACCAATGGGTTCTGCAGCTACCGTCGGGTAAATGGATACAAAGCAATAACCTGCATCAAACATGCCTGTAAAACCCCTCCAACTCCCAGCCTGCCTCAGTTTTCTTGTTTTGTTATTTTCTAGTGTCTATAGTTCAACACCTCCTCTGTTTTAAGAGAAGCACATCTTTTTCTGCTCTTTTGTGCTTCGACTCTCTAGCAAATTTCTTTAAAAGCTGCTCACTGTCACTGCATCTATCCGGATTGGATTTCTACTTGGTGGGGGGCGTAGCTGGATCATGAAAGGAGGTGGATGCAAGGACAGCCTGTAATATACTCAGGGCGCTGGATCCTGTGTGGGGTGCCCACCTTGGTAGTAGTGCAGCATGTGGAGTAGCCTGGGAGTACTATACAGGTCCAGGGCCATGATCTTGTTGGAGCCATGATCTAGGAATAAATACTTCAGGACATGGGTGTATGTGATATAGAAAATTGGTACCAGCACACAATCCAGAAAAACAATTAAAAAATACAGCAAAAGTTGTGTGGCTCCCCGCCTCTCAAAGCTACAACCTGCCAAAACATGGGTTTAATTAAATCTACTCTACACTGAGTGGCCAGATTATTATGACCACCCCATCAGTACTTCGTTGGGCCGCCTTGTGACTCCACAAGATGTTGAAAGGTGATGCGAGGAATCTGACACTGCACTGTTCCTCTTCTGTTGTCTTGTAGCAGTCTTGCCACTCTCCATTCTGCCCTAACATTGGCTAGTCTCTGACGGCCACAATTTGCACGTTCAGACCCGTATTTTTGGCTGACAGTCCAGTCTTTAAACACTTTAACAACAGCTGCTCTTGAACATTTAACGAAATCTGCTGTTTTGCTGATACTCGCTCCATGGCTCCGAGCGCCAACAATCATCCCACGTTCAAAGGCTGTTAAGTCGCGTTGTTAACCCATATCTTCAGAAAAAAATCACTTCTACTGTTGCGGTAAACAACCTGCTTCCCTATTTATAATGGTCTGGCCCTCTAGCAACTTCAGCGCAAAATTATAGCTAATTTGCCTACAAACGTCAGGTGGTCATATTAATCTGGCCACTCGCTTATAAATCCTGGTTTGCGGGGTATACAAATTTTTGGGGACTTTTACACTTTAAAATGTTATTTTTAGCACTGCACTCATTCTGTGATTGAATTATCAGTAGTTGTATAACATATTGAGGTTCTGGCTGGCTTTATAGGTTAGGAATTGAAATAGTTTGTGGTAGGTTGTATAAACTAAACCTGAACATGAATTAGCCCTTTCACTGCCAACATCATAACCACTGCGTCAGGGAAGTCTGTTACTAGTAAAGGATGGACACCGGCACTCCAAAGCAAGTTCAGTACGTGTTTTGTGATCACTTGTTTGCCTGATGAAGGGGATCCTGTGAGACCCCGCAACGTTGTTTATTGCAACCAGTGCGTTAATAAACAACTGAACTTGCTTTGGAGTGCCGGTGTCCATCCTTTACTGATATTTTGTCGGAAGCCACCTGCTACACCCAGCAGCGGCTCCGAGTGCGATGGTTACACGGACTGTAGTGAAATCTGTTACAACACACAGCTGTTGTATTTTTATAGCGCCAGTGTCATACATCATATGATCCTGACACATCACCAAAATTGCTTTCCAGTCATTATGCAATTGCTCCCTCACTGGTCTGTTGCTGACAGGTGAATTTAGCCAAATTTCATGGTAATTTGAAGCCTCCCACAGGACCTGCTGCTGGTGGTATGTCATGAGCAGAAGTCTCACCAATTAGGAAACATTATACATCATATTTTTCCAGACATTTAGAGAATTTAATTTGGTAGCAGAATTGTTGGCCCGACTTTCATGACGGCTTTTTGCCTTCATTAGTTTGAGCCACTGATGAACAAGTTGGCAAATCACAAACTGACACAGATGCAAAGTATTGAAGCCAGGGTGAGCATTATAGCCAGGAAACATAATTTTCAGAAAGGGCAGCTATTGCGTGTCTATATTTCTCTGGACCTTTTTTGTGTTGTACTTTTACTGGTAACTGTTTGGAAATCAGAAATTTTTACTGTTTCTTAACGTGTATTTAAAATTTTCTGTCTTTTCAATGCAGAGAGGAGACACTAGGCAAGATTCCAGCACTTCAGGATTTTCCCCTTCTGTGGCTCAGGCAGAAGATGAGGATTGGGGATAATTGTTAGTGGCACTATATACAGGCTAAAGACTTTTCAGTTGCATGTTTTCTGAAAACCATGTGGGTATTTAGAATTAAAATTTTCTTTAAGATTCTGATTTTGTGGCAAGAAAGTTTGTATTATGAGCCTTTAAGTTTTGTGGTGCAAATTAGCAACCAGATGAACAATTTCTTTTGATCACAAAATAAAAAGTTGAATTGTTGTTTTTCTGGTATTCTTTTGCGTACTGGATACAACATTTTAATATATATGGGCATCTAAAATTGTGTCTGTATTAAGGTCCTTTATTCTAAAGGTAAACTCCAGGCAGGGCACTGGATCCTGTGTTTAGTGTTAACCTTGATACACAGTGCATAGTGTTAGAGCAGTGGTTCTCAACCTGTGGGTCGGGACCCCCTCGGGGGACGAATGACGGTTTGCCAGGGGTCGCCTAGTGGCTCTCGGCCGCCGGGAGAGAAACACTTTCTCCCGGAAAGGTCGGGACCTTTCTCTGCTCCTGTTTTTTTTTTTTTTTAAATCGGGGGCCGCCGTAAGTCAGAAAAAAAAACCCTACCATAGGAATGCATAGCTAGATTCCTATTGGCTATTTCACTTTGCAAAAGCCAATAGCAAACAAGCTATTGCACCCACCCACCGATGCTGCCAATCAGCACAGGGGGACCTGAAGTTCTCCATCAAGTCCCCTTCTAGTGATTGACAGCAGCAGAGGGCGGGTGCAATATGTATGTATTCAAGCAAAAAAATATGTAAAACACACCTAGCTATGCATTCCATTTTCCCGGTCCGCAGCTGCAGAGATCGGGAAATGTCTCAGTGCATGTGATTGGCACTACGCGATGTCAGCTTCCTGGCGGGGAACACGCCCGAGCCCATCTCTATCAGTGACAGTACTGCTGAGTATGTACCTCATACGTTATATAGCCACACACTTTAAATCCAATTCTTCTAGTTACAGCTGCAGAGCCCGGTCCTGTCTTTGCCTATAGCAGTGTTCTCAACCTGTGGGTCGCTGTGCAAGGTGGAGAGTCCTCCTCAGCTCTCTCCTAGCGCAGCAGTGTCAGTTCTCCTGCCACGCCTCCAGATGTCGCTGCAGCAGCCACGTCATCCCTAAATTTTACCTTTTGGGGGTCACCACAACTTGGCAAATGTTACCAAGGGGCCCCGGCCCTAGAAAGGTTGAGAACCACTGTGTTAGAGGGTACTATACAGGCCCAGACCATGGTCTGTCAGCTTGTGGATCCCTGTCCCTGAAGACCTTGCAAAAAGGGAAGGAAGGTATGCCCACTGTGACCAGTGAAGCCAGGATGGGGTTTTGGCCCACGGTATCCTGCACTGCTGCTGCTGTCTGCCGAGGTAAGTGAAGAGATCTATCCTCTCAAATTCCAGGTGGCCAGCATGCTGCTCCTTTCAGTTCTGTATGTAGGAATGAGGATGTGACAAATTAAAATGCCACAGCCCTGAAACTTTATTTTGCTGCCATTTTCAGGTGATCTGATGCTAAAGAGTGGTGAAGCCTGTTGAAAGGGGTTTGCTCACTGCGCCTATGCATGCAATTGTCAATTTTTCTTCTGAGCACACTTCTGGCTGGACACTGCTCCTCCACGCTAGAGATCCACAGCACAGCAATCTCAGGATGCTCTTTGGGCATCTGCTACCTGCAGTGCTATCACAGGAGTTTAACCCTCCCTATCTGCAGCATAATGGTCATGGGTACCCCCCTTCTGGCGGATATCTGTACATAGAACATGGCAAATATTAGGTGCTGGGTCAGGGGCCTCACCAGCTCACATTAGTCAGATTCTCTAACTCTGGGGTCTCCATGATTCCCTCAGGCACATGCCGCTCCTACCTCCTATAGAGTAAATTTCTTCCACCATGATGTGATCCCTAAGGTCCAAAGGGGTCACAAGTGTGCCCCTTCAACCTCTCCTGGAGTCTTTCAGACTTCCCTCTTGCAGCCACTACAGTGCTGGAGGAGAATGCAGCATCTGTTTCTGTTTAAAGTGACATTAAACCCTCAGATTTTTTAACATAAACCAATACTGGGCAAGAGCAGCAAAAGAGAAGAAACAACCATGGATTACAGTAAGGCACACATTACAGTATTTTATGTTAAAAAAAATCTTGAGGGTTTAAAAAATTAGAGGAATGACGGAGCTGCTGTGAGCATGGAAGTTCAAATTTGTTGCCCGAGTGCCAGGCCCACTGCTCAGAGACCATCAAAGAACCCCCAGGTGTTTGTGCGTACCCATATGGGATCCCACACTATGGCTGAAGGGCACTGGGGATTTCAGGGGTCGTTAGGTCTTCAGTTGTTTTGGGAATATCTGTCGCCCCCTTGGGAGGCTATGTGTGATGGGTTGTCTAAATGGCCTTCAGCTGAGTTTGCTTTTTATTCCATCTGTCATCCGGTTGGGGGTACTGCATGACGCAGCAGGGAGGAATTTGTAGCATCTTTGTCTACCTTTTTTATTAATGTCAGCTGTACATTGATGCATCTAGTCACAAGGGCTGTAAACTGTTTTCCCCAGTCATCGTCCAGGGCAGCCTCTGAGAGATGGGATCCTCCCACCTGAAACAGGAAACACATCATCCACAATTAGAATAAAAAGGGCGGTCCCTCCTAACCACCTCAGTATTTTGTGTTTCCTCCGGCCGAACAGGAGCATCGCAACGTTTGTTATTTTACTCCAGGCCTATTATGCTAGATAGCAGGGGCCTCCTGAGGCATGCTGCTCTCACTCGCAGGACAGTGGACCTGTAGGGTCTCATGCACAGGACTTTTCCCAGGACTGATTCCCCCAGAATCCTTACAAAAAATGTTTGCCCAGAGGTTCCCCTCGATAATGGAAGGAGATGGCAACCATCCTCGCTGGCGTAGTGTCTCCAGATGGAGTCCCCCGGAGTGTCCTGCTACAGGAATTGACGGATGACCTGATGGGCTCTCTGGCGGCAGTAGAGCTGGATCACAGCAGGACACGAATAATGTGCTTTGTCTACAATCCACATCGGCAAGCAGGGGCGCCAGGAGTGGGGCAGGAGCGTGAGTGCAAACGGGAAGGGTGATGCACACCGTTGGACTCTTTATCACAGGCTTCTTCTCCCATTCTGGGGGTTCAAAGCGCTAGCTCCAAGGTAGGCGGGTCTACAATTGACAAGTCCCCCCTACCTGTGCCCTTCTTGCTCTGCGGGCCTACTTCAGTGGGGCAAGGGGTAGTTGGCTTACTTGATGCACCTCCCAATGGGTCCTCCCAGTCTCCCCGTGAGTCTATGCCTGACTTGGTGATGGCAGCTGCATTTTACCCAGATGAGTGTGACAACATTAATTGCTTACTGATGCTGTTTGAGACGAAGTGTGGTATCAATGGCTAGAGACGTGTAGCTTACACTTTGGAGAATAGAGTAACGTCCACATTTAAAAATGAGATTGGTCTATAACTTCCACAACACGTGGGACCTTTAAACAGTTTTGGTATTGCAGTCATGTTGGCTATGGTTGTCTCGGGCCTCAAAGCACCACCACTTTAGCACCACATCAAATTATTATCATACCTGGCCAGGTGGTGCAAAGAAATGTTCTTAAAGGCTAGGCTATAATATGCCAAGGTGACCTGATCCAAATCTGGTGCCTTCCCTGCCAGTTACGGCATGATAGAGTTGAGCAGCATCCATCTCCTCTTCTAAGGCTAACAAAGGCAGGTTGGCTTTTTATAACAAGGATTTGAGTGCATGTCTAGAGTGAAGGGACATCTACGGAGAACACGAAGCTAAATTAAGGTCAAAATAGTCATCTCTGAAAACCTTCGTAATTTTTATGTACCATACAATCTGCTGTAGATTTAATCATAGGGATATACACTGAGTGGCCAGATTATTATGACCACCTCATCAGTACATTGTTGGGCCACCTTTTGCCTTCAATACTGCAGCGATTCTTCTTGGCATTGACTCCACGAGATGTTGAAAGGTGATGCGAGGAATCTGACACCATGCCTGATGAATAGCACTGTCCAGTTCTGTGAGATTTGATGGTTGTGGAACCAGCTGCCTGATGGCTCTTTGAACTTCGTCCCACAAATGCTCAATTGGATTGAGATCTGGTGATTGTGGGGGCCACCTAAGCAAGGTTCCCTCATTTTCTTGAAACCACTCCTGCACCGTGGCATGGCGCATTGTCTTGTTGGAAGAAGCCGTCTCCATTGGGATACGCCATCAACATGATAGAATGAACTTGATCAGCAACGATATTTTGGTATGTTGTGCTATTCAGACGTTCCACACGAATTAAAGGGCCCATAAAATGCCCCAAACATAACACTGCTTGAAGGGTTGTTTTAATGCATGTGGGGGGCATGCTTTCATGCTGTTTCTGCCAAATTCTCACTCTGCATGATGCAACTTGAAACGTGATTCATCGGACCACTTGACTTTTTTTTTTCCAATGCTCGACTGTCCAATCCTTTTGTTCCTGTGTGAATTGGAGACGCTCTATCTTGTTAACTGCAGACAGCAAAGGTGTTCGAACAGGCCTTTGGCTTCCATATCCCATACGATGCAGTGTACGGCGAACGGTGCGTTCTGCAGTAATTTGATTCACTGGTGCCCTTCTGTTGTCTTGTGCCAGTCTTGCCACTCTCCGTTCTGCCCTAACATTGGCTAGTCTCTGACGGCCACAATTCACACGTTCAGACCCAGATTTTCGGCTGACAGTCCAGTCTTTAAACACTTTACCAACAGCTGCTCTTGAACATTTAACGAATTATGCTGTTTTGCTGATCCTCGCTCCATGGCTCCGAGCGCCAACAATCATCCCACGTTCAAAGGCTGTTAAATCGCGTTGTTTACCCATATCTTCAGAAAAAAATCACTTCTACTGTCGTGGTAACCTGCTTCCCTATTTATAATGGTCTGGCCCTCTAACAACCTCCGTGCGAAATTATAGCTAATTTGCCTACAAACATCAGGTGGTCTTAATAATCTTCCCACTCAGTGTAGGTGGCAGACTGTTTAAGGCA